GAGAAACCTCCCACTATCTTCACTGGTAGCTGGAAAGTTTGTTATTTTTTCCCACCACCTACCAGGAATTGGATCATAACTTCAAAATGTGTTGATCACTTGCTCAGTTTTCTCCTTGCTCAGTTTTTTTGTGTAATAGTTGCTGTCAATGTAACAAAACCAGGCAAGTCTTAATCCTCTTCCAACAAAATAGCAGATACTGATACATTAAGCAGAAGCCAAAATTTGAGAATGCCTCATGGTTTCTTACTGCTCTTTTTTTTAGGTCTCTCTTCTTTTATTCTATTCTATTTTTCTTTTCTTTTTTTAAAGAGAACTTGATTGAAGAATGATGTGAATGTGTATATAGGAAACAGTAGCACAATGTAACCTACAGTTTTAGGGTTGGCCTAGAAAAATGGATGACAGAATGGATGAAGATATTTTAATAAATACTGTGTGTGTGTATATACATAGTTTTTGACAACAAGGGGGTGTATTTTTTACATAGATAAGGAATTATATGGCCTGGCTCTAGTAAAAGTTGTGCATACATGGGAACATTCAAAATATCTTCTACTTCTGGGGGAGGATACTGCAGAAAGGAGGACTGCATCACTGCATCTTCCAGATGCTTCAAATTGCTGTGCAGTTCACTAAGTGTAAGCTTTGTCTGTAGTAGAGAACAATACTGCTTTAACTAAACCAGTATAATTAGAGCATATAACTTGTTTCTTTCCCACCCTTGGGATGGAAGCTGTTACACTGATACAGTATAAAGGTGTTTTATACAGCCATCTTATTTCACCTTCCCTATTAGGAACAAGTCATACCAGTGTAAGGCACCTCTAATACTGATGATTCCATCCATAGTAAAGGTTATGCCAAATTTATTGATTTGAATGAAAAATCATGCACACTTCTAGCCAAAATAGCAGTAACAATATAAAACCCGCATGTAAACAAGGACTTAGTTTAAAGCTAGTCTTACAGCTTTGTGTCCTGTTGTCTACACCAATTGCATTTTAAAGGCCATGTCAAATACTTGAGCTTTTCACCATCATAAGGAAGTATGTTTTTTGAAATATCGGTTTCCATGGTCACAGGAATTGTGTAGTATTCTAGCATTAAGTGCAGCACTTTAATTGAAGGTTTACAATAGAATACCCAGACCTTACAGCTGTCTACAACTCTACAGCCTTGGAATCTAATGTTGCCTGCAGAATTTCTGAGGACCCTTCTTGCAAAAGAATGTATGGCTGGTATTGTGTAAAGGGTATCTTAAGATAGAGAACAATGGTCTTCTTGTGGCCTCTCTATTGGGTACTTTTTGGATCCCCAATCATCTGACTTCTAGGAGTGCCAATTAAAAAAAAAAAAAAAAAGGTCATTCTATTTTCTTCAGTAATTTTGTATGAAAATGAATGTTAGTCATTCTCTTAGATCCTGCAGCGGTTAATTTATGGCAAAACTTCCTTGGTTTTAAATGGCAAAATGACTTAGGCCCTAAAGCACTTCAAGTTTATTGGTATTGGAAGCAGATTCAAATATCAGGAAAAAAATTAATATGTCCTCACTACATCCTCTGAAGCTGGTGGTTGTACATTTGGGCATTTGAGATTTGGCACTCACGGTATAATAAAATCATATGAGCCCTGTAGAATGGTAAACTGTGGCTTAGGTATCTTGGAATACTTCTGTATGGCAAAAAGATTATCATAAATGTGCCCTTTATACTAAAATTATGATGACATAAAAAAGTCTTCCTCCATATTGGTGTGATGCAGTTAGCTAGTTCCTCGCTAAAAATTCAGTGCCTGTCAAGTCTTCATAGAAAAGCGTATTGTCTTTGGTTTACCAAAGAGTCCCAATGACTTTTGTGAATATAGCCCAGCCCATAATAGAATTACACATTATCAATGGTAGAAAATTCCAGGGTAGGTTTGATTTCCAACAAAAATCCAGCAGACCGAGAAGTATTGGCAACATTCTTAAGACTGGAAAAAGGAGCAGAGGCTTTTTAAAACAGATTGTATAGAATTGACTTTTTCTCATTTAGGGCTTGATTGGGTTCCAGAAGAAGCAAGAGAAGGAAAAATCTTGAAGTTAGCTTCAGTAGGAATGAGATTAAACACTTTCCTGTGGTGTTAACCTAATGTTTTCAATCTTATTAGTTCCTGTGTGCAGCTGGTTGCTTTAATATTGCTAAAGAAAACACCCAATGAAATCTGAATCAGTTGACCATACAGCTGGTTATAGTGGAAATGTTTTGAAGTGTGAGTGCTTGTAGACAACCACTTGTTAGACTTTCACTATATGTGTTAAAGGTCTTCTGAGGATACTCAAAGGAGCTAGCCTTTGTTAGGGCCATTGATGATATTAGAGTGGGTAATTGGGTAGATGACGTGCTCTAGTACAGAAATGTTTAGTCTGAAGCTGTAAAAGAGGCGAATTTGAAGAATCATGCTTAATCTATCAGGGAAGAAAACCACTCTAATAGTAAGAAACTGTTTTCTCTAGAGCCTCAGTGAGGTTTTCACAATGATTTGAGAAGTCTCAGAGTCAAATTAATAATTCTATAGCTTAAGTCCAGTCTCCAAAAACTAGAATCAGCTGTTCTACGGTGTCAACAATTATTGAGAGTTTCTACTTTTCTAGTGGTTTGAGCAAAGAATAGGCATAATGGGTAATAATCAGTAGCTTTATTTTTCTAACACTGGATGGGAAGGTAGTTTAAAGCAAATAGTGCCTAAAATGTAGCCTCAGGAGTTTTAAATATGATTTAGTCTTTCAGTTTGTTTCCATGAGAAATCTTCTGTAGAAAGTGTTGTGTTAATAGATTTATGTCCAAGCAGCAGACTGTATCCAGGTGAGTGTAGGTCTGTTTGTGGCTGTCTGATTGTACTTCTGCAAGAGATTTTGCAAGAACAAGGTTAAGGTGTAGTGAACCTAATCATGCTATTTTACCATGTATTGCCTTTTGAAGATAGTGTACATCTGGGTCTGTTATGATAGTTTGAAACGTAAGTGTCACTTTTAAGGATGTTTGTGTTTAGATGTGGATTGCAGAATGGGGGGACAGGAATACATTCCATACAAGTAGCTATTGCAAAAGATTGGAGATCTATATTGTAACTGATGATGGAGCAGGGAGCATCTAATTCATACCATCTGACGAAGTAGGCTATTGCCTAGGAAAGTTGATACCTTTCTGAACAAATTGGTCTTCAAAGTGCTATCCTGCCCTGCCTTCTGCCTCAGTTCTAAATGTTGACCTACACCCCTGAGTCTGACATCCAGCATTTTGTCTTATTTCTAGATTTTATTTAAGTCAAGATGAGTGAGTGGAATTTTAAGAAGACTCAGATAATCTCTATTGTACATTTGTGGCACTAAATTTCCACTAGCTGTTTAATATGATCCTAATAGCAGATGAATATTATAGGCAAATTTTGAAAAATGACCACTGTTGTAGGATGCCTTTGTTTAGATTGGATATCTGAAAACTGGACTGTGCCTTGCTCAAAGATAGGCACACAAAATTGGTGGTCACTCCTGGAAATGTGGCTGCTTCTAGTTAATGGTATTTTTTTTTTAAGAGGGTGGAGCGATATGATAGGATAATAATACACTTATTACTGAATTACTGTGAAGTGTATGGCCTATCATCCCACAGTAGTCCTATCGACAGATGATAAACTAGATTTCTGGTGTTTCACATCCATGCGGTGCAGGTGGATAAGCATTAGTCTCTTTCAGATACCAGAATCTAGGTAAAACCCTTACTGTCTTGTTACCTGCAGATAAAATAGCAAGTCTGGCAGAGATGAAAATGAGACTGAAAA